CGAACTTAGAATCTCAGATCTTTGCAGTTGTGTTCATTGTTAAGACCAAATTTGCAACCCTGACCTTTGACTGACACTCTCATTATCTTTGTCTCTTCCCACCCCTTTCTATCTTCATCCAATCTTTCTCTCTTTATCCATCTTTTCTCTCTCTCTCTCTCTCTAAATCAGAACCATAAACCATCATCATCAATATTATTGGGTACCTACCAATCTTCATTATTGATGTTATTGTTAGCCTCTTTCAAAAGCAGATCCCCTATCGTTGTAAAGTTGTTGACAGAATCGCTTAGGCCATATATCTAAAGAGACAATTCAAAGACTTGTCTCAAATGAAATTCTTGATCCTTTAAACTTATCGTATTTTGAAGTTTGTGTTGAATGTATTAAGGGAAAGAGAACAAATGTAAGGAAATTAGGTAGCAAAAGAGCTAAGGATGTCTTAGAACTAATACATATAGATATTTGTGATCATATCCCTACAACTTATTGGAATGGACAATAATATTTTATTAAGTTTATAGATAATTACTCTAGATAATGTTACCTATTTTTTATACATGAGAAGTCTCACTTCTTGGATGTTTTTAAGTATTTTAAAGTTGAAGTTGAACTTCAACTAGGAAAAAAATTAAAGCTATCAAATTTGACTATGGTGGTTAATACAATGGCACATATGACACGTCAGGAGAACAACATTCAAGATCTTTTGCATTTTTTCTCAAAGAGCATGGAATTGTTCTGCAATACATTATGTCAGGCAAACCTAGCATGAATGGTGTAGCAAAAAGAAGAAACTAGACTCTTAAAGACATTTTGAAGAGTATGATTAGTCATTCTTCTTTACCATAGTCATTTTGTAAAAAAAACCTTTGAAGACTGCAATTTGCATCCTTAATAGAGTACCAAGTAAAGTAGTTAATAAAATCTCTTAAGAGCTTTAGACTGGTAAAAGGTCAAGCATTAGGCACTCGCACATTTGGGGCTGCCTATCTAAGGCACGACCTTATAAGCCATATGAAGTAAAGTTGGATTCAAGAATTGTTAGTTGTTATGTTGTTGGTTATCTTAAATACTTTCAGGGTTACAAGTTTTACAATCTCACCTAAGATCTTTTTTTGAAATAGGAAATGTGAGGTTTCTTGAGTAAGTTGAGTTCAGGAAAGATAAGAACATAAGGAATGTTGCCTTTGAGGAAAAACCTATCATTAATAGTGATTAAGTCCTCATAATTATTATTGTTCAAGAAACAATTCCAATGGTAGAAAATATTGTCTCTAACAATATTTTAGATCAAAACAACTATGGAGTTCCCTCTCAAATATCTATAGAGCAACTTCAACAACCTCAAAAAGTGTCATTAACAAGATCCGCTAAAGAAAAGAGAAGTGCAATTCTTGATGATTTTGTTGTATTTCTTTAAGAACATAAGGATGATATTGGTTTAACAAAGGAAAATCCAATCAACTCCTGTTAAGCTATACATAGTTCCAACTCTAAAAAGTGGATTGATGCCATGAAGGAAGAGATGAAGTCTATACAAGATAATAATGTTTAAGATCTCATTGAATTACTTAAAGGTATGAAACTTATTGATTGTAAATGACTATTTAAAACCAAGAATGATTCAAAAGGTAATATCGAGATATATAAGACATTGATTACAACGAAACTTTTTATCTAGTTTCCTAAAATAATTCTTTTAGAATAACAATAATAGCACTAATAGTTCATTATGATTTAGAACTCTATCAAATAGATGTTAGTACTGCGTTTTTAAATGGTGACATTAAAGAAACGATTTATATGACGCAACAAAAAAATTTGTGTTTGATAATTCAAAGTCTATGGTATGCAAACTAAATAAATTCATATATGGTCTTAAACAACTTCTCATCAATGGTATCACAATTTCCATCAAGTTATTACCTCGTATGATTTTGAGATAAACATAGTTGATAATTGTATCTACCATAAGTTTAATGAGAGTAAAATATATATTTTTGGTATTATATGTCGATGATATATTGTTGCTAGCAGCGATATATGCTTATTGCATGAAACCAATAGATTTCAACAAAGAGTTTTGAAATAAAAGATTTGGATAAAGCCTCTTTTGTATTAGGTATTAAGATACTGTTTTCGTTGTATCTTAAAGTTATCACAAGAAAATTATATCAATAAAGTTTTAAATAGATTCAACATGAAAGATAATAAGTTAAGAGATTCCCGTGTAGTTAAAGAAAATAAATTTAGTTTCAAAAAAGTCTAAAAAATGACCTTGAAAGAAATGAAATGTAAAAGATTAGCTATACATCAACTATGAAAAGTTTAACATACGCTCAAATTTGTATTCGTCCAGATATAGCATTTTGTGGTAAATGTGTTCGACAGTCACTAATCATGTGTTAAGAAGAAATAAGTTAAATTATATATTTAGTCTTAATAGTTGTCACATATTTATGAATTAGTTCTTATACTTAAGTTGTAGTTTTTATATAAATTTATTTTTTTTATGTTTTTGTCCCAACTATTAACATTTTAGTACCTATTATTGATGGTATTATAATAGCAGGATCATAATATAACAAAATTTTTATATAGAGATTAAAAAAAAATTTATAAGAAGAAGAACTAATTTGTAAACTTGTACAACTATAAGGATTAAATATGTGATTTAACTTTAATTTTAACAAAATTTTAAATATACACTATGTAGCTCATTAAAAGCTCAAAATTGTTGAATAAAGAAACTTTACACTAGATATATCATTTGATGATAGATATATAATTTATTGATTTAGTGAATAAATAGATAAAAAAAAATTATAACTATAGTTAATAAAATACCAAGAATAGATCACATATCACACACATACATATTTTTTATATTATATAAGACTTTTATTATAATTAAATTTTCATTTCTTACAAAATGAGTATTATTGTTTTACTTATGAAAAAATGATAGATTTAATTAAATAAAATTAGTTATTATAAATAAGAAGAGTCTAAAAACGTTAATTAATACATAAATAATAATTTATATTATTAATTAAAAATATCTCAGAATAATGCATAAATTATATTTTTCTTCAATAAAATAATTTTATATTTTATGAGTTTTTGTTAATACTTAAGTTATTATTTGCATCACTCTTAGTTAAAATTTTTAGCAATCACTCGTTTTTAATTTTGTGCAGAAAATATTTTATTTTTTTTTTGCTAAAAATTACAAAATTCATTACTTTAAATTTTTTTCTCTAAATTGAAATTGTTCTTAAATATACACTCTCACTTTCTAAATTAAATGCATGCATTTTTTTTATCATATTTAAGTATATGTTTTATTTTTAATTTAAATTTTCTTTTAAAAATTCTATCTTTTGAATATATATATATATATATATATATATATATTATTGGTCGACATTTAATTAAAAATATTTTGATAATATATAATTAAAATGTTATTTTAAAATAAATTATATTTTTAAATTATTATAATTTTATTAAATAATTTATTATTTAAAATAATTTTGTTATATATAATTATTTAGGAAAAGATAAAAAAAATTAATTATTAAATTATATATTTATTATAAATAAAATATTCATATATTGAACAAACTACTCGCTAATGATTAATATAAATTCATATCTAAAATATATTTTAATTTATTAACAGTTTAAAAATATTAATGTACTTGAATTAAACTCTTAAATTAATTTTAAACATTTAAATTAATCAACATCCGTGTTAGTTAACAACTTGTTATTTTATCTAAAAGAAAAGTTTTTCTTTTTTTGGTGATTTTTTAACAATAAAGACCTTATCCATGCCAGGCGGTAATTGCATGCCGAATTCATTTTAAACCTTCCATATTGAAAGCAAACACGTTAATGATTTGTCTTTTTTTTTTTTGGTAAAGTAATGATAATAATAATAATAATAATAATAATAATAATAATAATAATAATAATAATAATAGATTATTTAAATAAAAGAACTCTTTTTATTTGTACAATATATTAAAATTTAAAAAATTAACTTTAAACTAGAATTGATTAAAATTATAATAATCTTAGAAGTTTATTGTATCTTAGGAAATGGATATATTTTAATTTTAATATAGCATATGTCGAAAGCAATGTGGCTTAATAAAACAAAAAAATCATGCATTGAATAAAAAATTAAAAATAAAAAAATAAAACTACAGATTCAATATAATAAAAGCAATGTGGCTTAATAAAAAATATTACAAACATTTTCACTTAAGATTGATAATTTAAATTTAATATTTTAAGAATTTAAATCTATAAAACATATAGAAAAAGGCATAAAGTTAATTATGGTGCTTGATTTGTATTCCAAAAATATTTTGTTAGATTTTAATCACTATCTTGAAAATTATATTTATCGTAAAATCCTATGTCCTTTCTCAAGATTACAATCTTTATTTATAACCCAAATTATTATATATTTTCAACAATAATATAAACATTTTTTCAATTAATCAGATTGTAATTTTCTATGAAAAGTTATTTAATCTAAACTCACATTATTTGTATTTGAATTCTTTTAAAATATATTATAATAAAATTAACTCTATTAACGAGTTCAAATGTGAAACTATATTTTTTAAAAAATTAAATTTGTACCACATTAATAGTTCGATTATTGGTTAATGGTGATTATACCTATTGGTTTAGGTATTTCTAGTACTTTTTGAATTATTCTAAGGCTTTGATAAAATAAAATATATTATTTCTATTTTCGTTTACATAAAAAATAAAAAAAATTCTATAAAGTAAGATAGGTAACGGTAAGTCTTTAAATAAGGAAGATGAAAATGTCATTAAGGCTATAAGATAATGGGGTATTCCTGAATTTTAAAAATAAAATATATAAATGTAGCAATCCTGAACTAATTAATACAATATTTGTACATTGCCATAATTAAGGTTCCATATTCTCCAGTTTTTCCCGCAATGCAATCAATGCCTAGTTTCTCTCTTGATCCTATATATCCCCAGCAAATGGTGCGTTTCTTTTGCATCCCATAATTTTTATTTTCATTAAAACTTCACTCTCTCACTCACTCTGTTGCATTGTTTCTTGTCAACTATGAATGCTCTTGCAGCCACCAATCGCAACTTTCAATCTGCAGCTCGCATTCTTGGCTTAGATTCCAAGCTCGAGAAGAGCCTCCTCATTCCCTTCCGAGAAATCAAAGTATTAAACATTCCAATCACCCCTTTTTTGGGTTTCAATTCGTTTTCATTTTTTCCACTGTATAAGAGGTTTCAATTTTCATTTGCATGGCTTTCTCTCTCCCCAATCATAAAAAAATGTTCTTTTTATTGTGGGGTTTGTTGAAAAGGGTTTCTCTGTGGTGTTTGATTTGCAGGTTGAATGCACGATCCCGAAAGATGATGGGACTCTGGTTTCCTATGTGGGTTTTAGGATCCAGCATGATAATGCTCGTGGCCCTATGAAAGGAGGGATTCGTTATCATCCTGAGGTTTGGTTCTTCTCATGTGTTGTTCTTTTAATTGTTTTGTTTTCTCATCAATAGACAGATTTGGAATCTGAGTTTGTGTATTGAATTCCATCTGTTTCTAAATTTGTTTGCTTGAAGTTGTGATGCTGTGTTGGTATAATTTCGATTTCGTGTGTGTAATTTAACATGACATGTTTTGTCAAATTGAAAATGTTTGATAGAACCCCAATTCATGAAATGGAGGATGGAGTGCTGTTCTACAATGATCGGTGGGGCATTAGTGGAAAACCTTTTCAAAAATTATTTTTTGGGTTGGGCATATGTGACATTGGTTTGCAGGTTTGCCTGATGCATTTTGAGGAGCCAGATTGGAAAACTATTATGAAGTTCCATTTGGCGAGAAGCATTTTATTTTAGTCCATACATGGTCGATTTGTTAAAAATGTGGTTACTTTAATTATAAAACTTGTGCCTATTATTATTACTATTACTAGTTATTAAAAGATGTGATCATACATAATTGTGAACTATTCTCGGCATCTAGAAGTAAGAAGAGGCTTGGGATTTTTATATTATGTGACGTGGCTTTCGAAATGCAGACCACATCATTTGTTGCGGCTGTAATGGCTTAATTTGCAGTCATCGCAACAGCCATAACTGTAATTTAAAACTGTGATGTTTACTTGTTTTGTCATGCAATGTCTCAATTGCAGCAGTCACGGCAGCGGCTGCATTCACACAGCAATTGTAACTGTAGTTTAAACCTATGATATTACTTGTTTTGTCATGCAATATCTCAGTTGCCGCAATCGCTGCAATGACGGCTCAATTGCTGCAATGGCAGCATCTGCATGCAACAACTGTAACTGTAATTCAAAACTATGATGTTTACTCATTTCTCGTGCAGTGGCTTTATTCCATGTGCTAATATTATTTTCCTGTACCTACGTGGTTCCTCAACTGTGGTAACCTTGTAATTCAATTCCAAAAGTGCCATTGAAGCTTTACCCTCTTATTTAGGTCCTCAATCATGAGATATATGCTGCATTTTAGATGATCCTACAAAATCATGGACTATTGTCTGCTTTTAAAAGGAAGAGAATGCTTTGGATTTTGATATTAGGTGATGTAGATTTCAAAATGCAGACTCCATCACATGATGCACCCCAACTTTTTCAGTTGCAGCAGCCACCCTAACCATATCCGGCCATGATTGTGGGATGCATCTGGCTGAATCCACCCACAGCATGACTGCAATTCCGATCTGATAGATTCAAACACGTATGTAGTAGGAGAAAGAAGACTAGTCAGGAAATAAAAGAGTAAATAACCAATTCTGTTAATAACGGACAGCTGGCTCTTTTAGCAATATAAATAAGAGTACAAAGATAGTTAGGAGTTTTTAATTTTTGCAGTTAGAATAGAATAGACTGGTCTGGAGAGTGAGGTCTCTCAAATTACCTCAGGTTATTGGAATCTTGTAACAATTCTTCCTATTCCTAATCTGTACCACATTGGTGTAGCATTGGGAATTAGGTTCAGCAATAAAGAAACATTCGATCACAATTGCAATTCAAAACGTTTATCATGTTTACTTTGTTTTTTACACACTGATTTTATTGTGTACTAATATTATTTTCTTGCATTTGTATGCTTCTTCAGTTATCGCACACTCTAATGAATACAATCAAGAAACACGTGCTGCATTTTCCTCTTCATTTTTCTGCTTACCTGAGTCTGTAAATGTTGCTTGATATTCTAGCTATATTTGAGATGGGCTTTTCCCCATCAGAGCAGTTATTTTATGAACACTAAATAAACCCATAGAGTCACTGACAAACCATAGAAGCTTTGAGTTAACAGTAGTTCAACTTCAATTTCAATCTACACATTGCTTACCAAAAGTGATTTTAATCTGTACAGTTCTTCTAATGACCATTTTTGCTTGTTGATGCTTTAAAGTTACAGTTATGAATGCTATCAATAAAAATTCTTTATACTGCTTTTGAATATTAAACTGTTTGGTGATGCCAGGTTGACCCTGATGAAGTGAATGCTCTTGCTCAGCTGATGACCTGGAAGACAGCCGTAGCAGACATTCCCTACGGAGGAGCGAAGGGTGGGATTGGCTGCAACCCGAGGGATCTTAGCATCAGTGAGTTAGAACGTCTAACTCGGGTTTTCACCCAGAAGATTCACGATCTCATTGGGGTTCAGAGAGATGTCCCTGCACCTGACATGGGAACTAATGCACAGGTACTGATTTCACAACATAGTACATAATTTTCTGCTCATTTTTTATAGATCTAGCATCCAAAAGTTTCATATATCCTTCGTTTTGGTCCACTTTTTCACAGACCATGGCATGGATTCTTGATGAGTATTCAAAGTTTCATGGGCATTCACCCGCAGTTGTGACAGGGAAGCCTATTGTAAGTATTGAATACACACACACCCTCTAAGAGACTGCAAAGTCCTCATCTTAAGTATATCAATGATTAGGAAATTGGCTTTGAATGATTTTTCCTGTAGGATCTTGGAGGTTCATTAGGGAGGGAGGCTGCTACAGGTCTTGGAGTGGTTTATGCAACAGAGGCTTTATTTGCTGAATATGGGAAGTCAATTTCTGATCACACATTTGTCATCCAGGTATTCCTTCACCACCGTGGAAGGATGATATAGTATACACATATTAATGCCACTTTCATCATCTACTTGATTTTTATCTCACTATTCAGGGATTTGGAAATGTGGGCACATGGGCTGCAAAGTCTATTTTTGAGAGAGGTGGTAAAGTGATTGCTGTGAGTGACATCAGTGGTGCTATTAAAAACCTGAATGGAATTGACATTCCAGCCCTTCTGAAACACAAGGAAGGTAATGGGAACTTGAAAGACTTCCCAGGTGCAGAAGTGATGGATCAGAATGAATTGCTTATTCATGAATGTGATGTTCTTATCCCATGTGCCTTGGGAGGCGTTCTAAACAAGTATGCTTGTCTTTTCCTTAAACTCGTAAATCACCATTGTTAAAGTCATTTCAGTTTTCTCTTGATCTTGCACACTAGATTAAAACACCACCCTCCTTATTGTTCTTTTAAGTTTAACGTAACACCTAGTTCTAAAAGCTACAACTGAATTTTGGTATGTCATTTTTGTAGGGAAAATGCTGCTGATGTGAAGGCAAAATTTATAATAGAAGCTGCAAATCACCCCACTGACCCTGATGCCGATGAGGTAAGATTACTGATTTGTAGTTATGGTATTTCTTATGTGACATATATCCTTATCTTGTATTACATTATGCAAGTGATCTCTTTTTGCAGATCTTATCAAAGAAAGGAGTCGTTATATTACCTGATATTTATGCCAATTCTGGTGGAGTGACTGTAAGCTACTTCGAATGGGTTCAGGTAAATGGGATCAACATAGCTTAAGTTGAAAACCATGCTTAAATCTCTCTCTTTAATGCAAAATCTCCTTTTGGCTCTATGCTGCCTGCAGAATATTCAAGGATTTATGTGGGATGAAGAAAAAGTGAACCGTGAGCTGAAGAAGTACATGACCAAAGCATTCCTGGGCATCAAGGCAATGTGTAAAATTCATAACTGTGACTTGCGAATGGGAGCATTCACTCTTGGAGTGAACCGTGTTGCCCGTGCTACCCTTTTGAGAGGTTGGGAAGCTTAAGAAGGAACAACTATCCTTATAGCTTCTTTTATTTACTTACCAGAACCAACGTTGCTTAGTCTTGCAACTGAAAAAGTAGGATAAAACCAGGCTTTTCTTTTCTTCCTTTGTTATCATAGTCTTAGTCGAGTAATTTAGTATATTAGACTAGCCAATAAAACATTATTAGCGTTATTGGGCCTAGGAATCAGATAAGTTATACCCGGATTTGTTTCAAAATATTAAATGCATTGGGGTTCTTACTATTTTTCAACTGTGTGCTGCATTTGGCTTTTTTATTTGGATCTTGTTAACCAGTGACGTGGCTAAGGAATTAGAAGAGAAAACTTTTTATTAAAAATTTACGTTGGATTGCATTGAAAATCACGGAAAAGGTGTATTTATTATATTTTTTTTGTTAAAAAGATATATTTTTGGTTCTTTAAACAGTGCACTTGAGAGACTGGTTAGTATTTGTCTTTTTCTTTTGAAATCATTCTTAGTCGCGCCTGATCTTAGAGAAAACCCAACATCCTTCTTCACGACTCCAAGGACGGTGTGAGTGAAAATTACCAAAGTTTGCTTCCCAAGTCATCATTAATAAAAATCAACGATGATATTCGTACAATAGCACATACAGCAACTTCCTTTTCACTTCATTTTTTATTTCTCTTTTTTCTCTTCTTATCTCTCATAAGTACTACCAATGTCCAGCTATGAGGAATGTTGATTCCTTAAAACCAAAAGTAAAAATAGTTGTGTTCACAGCTAGTCAAAAACATCCACATTCACACCGAACCCGAAAGATAGGATTTTAAGGTCTTACTCGCCTTTATGGACAAATATATGGAAGTAAGAAAAAGAAATTTGGAGTACTTGCCTTCATTATCTCCATTGAAAGCAACAACAGCCATGGAATAGATCATCCCTGTGAGGACCACTCTTACATTTGAAGACAATGTCTGGATCTTTAGTTTCAATTTCTTGAACATGTATGGCATCCCATAATCCTGCAATTGCAATCACTGCTTGAACAGACTGAATGCTATTGATGGCAATATAAATGGTTGAAAATGTTTGTATACTCCTTCATGGAAATTACTTGCTTGGCAAGTTCAGACCCCTTGTTATACTTGTGCAATTGGCTATAACAGGCCTAATTATAAAAATGGTTTTGCTAACCGTTATCCTATTAAAGAATTAAAAAAAAAATATATTTTTTATATTAAAAGTCATGACATTTGTTATCAATTCATTAAATATTACAATTTTCTATTAACTGACAAGAAAATTAACATAACCATTTGACTCTCAAGAAAATTTCTGCATTGCAAACACACAAACTATCCGGGTCATTTCGAGCTAGGACGACAGAAGGAATTGAAATACAATGCTAATTCATATCCATGTCTTGTTTTGCACTAGCAAAATTATAAAGCACTATATTAAGAAGCAGATGAGAAGGAGAACTACAGAACAGCAATTCCACTAATCTTTTTTGGAAGTGCTTGAATTCTCATCCTGCCAAGTTGCTTGCCATTGCTTGTCATATAATGTAGTCTCATCAAATAGCTTCTTAAGATTTTCAAAGTCCTCATTCTTTCGGATCAGAAGTACTCCCACTACTGCTATGAACAGCAGAGTTTTGCAAAAGAAGTTGCTCATTTGATCAACTAGACCTACTCCTGTCAAGCTATCAACAAAATATGCCATAAAGAATCCAATCATTGCAGCGCGACCTGCATGATACTCGGAAGAAAAATATCAGCAATGAATAATTTTCAATTTTTATTTTTCTTTTTTTTATATAAAATCATTTATTCTTTATTTTCATTTCAGAACTAACCATTGAGTAGTTCAGCTTCAGGGAGGTGGAACCTTTTCATCCATGCCCACCAAGGTATGATGGAGGTGTCAAAAACTACAGGGTTATTGTTGCTGGATGATTCTGGGTTATTCTCAAGCCATTTTCTCCTCCTAGCCTCTGCGAATAATAACATACTAAGATGAAGAAAAATTCCATGCAAAGTATTTTGGAAACAGAGAATGAAACCGACAAAATATAAATCTAATCCTACCCCAACTATTCATGTCTTAAACTTCTATCAAATAGAGAAAGTCAAAACAGAAAATGAACCCATGCACTGTCAAATAGAACATAGGAATGACATTGTTAATAGACACATTTATTCCATATTCCTGGCAAACTGTAAATAGAACTCCTTATATGTGATAACAGCCACAGGTCACATATTAATGGGATAATCCGAAAAATCAACATATTATGTCCTGCCAACACAGGGTGTGGAGAGGGTATATATATAAAGAAAAGAGAAGAAAATCAAACACATACCCTATGCTGCTGAGCTTAAATTCCAAAACCATCCAAACCAGACAGAAGTCACAACCTACATCAATACGATTTGCAACATAGAGCAACCATTGATTAAGCAAAGAGGTTGCTTAACATTACTTCATTAGGGGGGGATATTAGGTTGCATCATTCTCATGCTATGGCATAAAATCAAACTCCATGGCCATGATAAGCTGCACCAAAGTTGTGCAGCAGTGTTAACAGAAACAAAATGACAAGGAGGAGAGTATTTAAGAACGAAGGCAAGGAATCTGGTACAGAAGGAGCTGGATCAGGGCTGAGAAGCTATGTGGCTCTTGAAACCATAGAATCATAGATGTGTTTCTGCACAGCAGAGTTGCAGCTTGCCTCCACTTTATCCCCACACCAGGTCTTATACCTCTTCTAACCCCCCGCAATAATAATAATAATAATAATAATACTCTTTCCGCTCAGAAATCTTCCTACTTTGACACATGTCTACTAAAATTGAAAGCTAATTAATATTTTTTGGAAGACATGTGTCCCTTTTTTTGAGTAGGATGATTTATAATCTGAAATAATACGAGAACTTAGCATTTTTTTTTAAAACGTCTACAATTCTCTCTCACTCCTACTTCTAATCCTGCTTACATAACCATCAGGGGCAAAAAATTGTATAAGTGAATCGACAAGTGAGTACATGCATTGTAAATAGTAAATGGGGTATCAGAGAAAACGAGTAGAATACTGAAATTTGAGCCTACATGAACTCTTAATTCAAACAAAACAAAAAACTGATTTCAACAGAGACGAAAACAAAGGGCAAAAACGTTACCAGCATCAATAACCGCGTCCCAATCGGTGCTACCATTTTTCTGAAACTGCTTCAAGTCCCATGTTCCTCCAACCCATCTTGGGTCAACAAAACCACTCAAAACCTTCACTTCCTCAGCCTCAGCCTCAGCCACAGCAGCAACAGCAGACCCATTGGTTCCCACAGAATTGTTCTCAAGCGACGGCGGAGAAGACTCCGGCGCAGCCTTCTCCGGCGGCGGTTCCACGGCAGTTCCGACGCCATTTTCAGGAGAAGCCTTCAAGGGTAACAAAGGAAGATTCTTGGGCCTGAGAGTGAAGGAGAAGTGGTTCTTGTGGATGAGATGGGGTTTGGAGTGTGAGGAAGGAGTGGCTGAGAAATGGGTGGGAGGAGAGAAGGAAGCCATGGTTGTTGACATGCTTTGCATTTGCATTGATTTGATTGGTGTGTGTGGTTGGGAGTATCAGAACATGGTGGGTGAGTTTCACAGTTTCTATTTCTGGGGCTATCCTCACTCACTTCTCAGCCTTAGAAATTATGGGCACACCTCAAGTGAAGTGAAGAGGGCACGTAATATATGAATTATGAAATAAAAGAAAATCAAAAAGTGAAAAAGGTACAGTGTGGTGGCTTGGCTAACTTCGCAACTCGTTTGTCCTTTATTGGCTTTGATCAATTTCTTATCCAATCATCTATAACTCTACAGTATCTGTGGATTACGCCACCTTCCAACTTACACAAATGAAAATCAAAATGGCCCATGATTCAGTTCCTTTCTGAGTCCAAGTTGTGTCAACCGAGGAAGTCTCACTTCTCACTGGGAATAAGGCTTTTATTGGACATCTTTGATCCATCTCAATATTTCTAATCTAAACTATATTCTTTGTAAAAGGTAATTTTGTTTGAATTGAAACTATCCATAATATCATAGAATTATCTCTCTCAGTAGAAACTTTTTTATTCAAAATATTCAAACCCATCTTAATGTCACAAGTCTATGTTATTCTAGCCTTTTAAAAAATATATTAAGATTTTATTTTCATGAATTTTTTAATTAAGTGTTCTTCCAACATTGATTAAAGAATCAATAAAAAATAATTTTTTATTAAAAATTGTTAAAATATAATAGAAACTACAAAGTTGAGTTTTTTTTTATATAAAATACTTTAAATTATTTAACTAGTGTCTTTAAGACTTTTATAGTGAATGTGATAGGATAAGAATAAAATATACTTCTATCTTATTTTACAATCAATGTATACCAAAACAATAAATTATATACATCATAATATTTTATGTTGTCTTTTTCTAATCCAAACTCCTTATAAGATAAAATTTACACCAGAGAGTATAATCAGAAAAGATCATATTTCATATGTTGATAATCAAACAAACACCGAATAAGATAGTAAAAAAATATTATATCATATTTTTCTTATTATATCCATGCAATGGACCTTAAGAATATTGGTTAGCACTTTTAATAGATTTGGGTTGGGGTGGTGAGAATAAATTTTAGAAAAGCAAATATGTATTTGTATATTTGATTTTATGTAAAAAGATGATAAAAAATTATGAAAAAAAAATTCTTGTTGATGTAAAAAAAATATTAAGATAGTAAAAAAGGTTGAAGGTAGCTTGTAGCCAAATATTTGGTCAACCTAGAAGCAATCAAAGCCAATAAAAATGTCAGTGTGTGTTTGGGCATGTAACTTAATATTCACTTATTCATAATTTTTTTCCCTCTACATGAGAGTTGTAGCCATAAATTTGACCATAAAAGTTATTGCAATGAGCTCAAAAAACTTATTTTGATAAGATATATATTAAGAAATTTATTGAAATGAGCTTAAATAAACTTAAAAAAGTTATATAACTTATTTTATTAGTTATCTATAAATGATTAGAATATTAGTTAGATCAAGAGAATTGAATCTGTTAGGTGATAAGAAGAATATGTATATATATTTTTTCAAATGGGACAAACTATGATTGAGATATAGAATTACCATATTTAATTGTTGCAACAAGTTTCTAGAAACATGAAGCATTGACAAGGGAACGATTGCTTAATTGATTTGTATCTTTCAAAAACTAGGATCAGAATTGAATAGAGAAATTGTATCATTATCAAATAGGCAAAAGGATAAATCTAAACAACTTCTGCAAAGTCAAGATAAGATGAAAATCCTCAACTTTTAATGCAAGAACATGGTTGGTATGGTTAGTTGTGGAGTCTTTAAGTGCATTAGTTGATCAACATTTTTTTAATGAAAAAAAAAAGATAAAAATGTAAAAATACCAATAATGAATTCACAAGAATATGACATGTAAATAAAATATTTGAAACAAACTTTTATCCTACCTTTGTCTTGATTGATCATGCATATGGAATTAAGCAAATAATCATTTTTTCCATTTTGATAAGTATACTTTTGTATTAAATAGTGTCTCTGGTTTTTTATATAACTTAGTTGATGTAACAATTACCATTACTATAGTTGTTATCCATGATCTTACAAACATGTAAGTGCAGAATAAGGGGTAAGAAACATTGCAAATAGTCCCACTAAGGGGTAAATGAAGCCTTTACATATCGGCCTTTAATAACTTTCTTTACAACTTTTTTTTTCCTTTATAGCATTTCACTTATTGCTTGCCATTAATATATTTAGTGTAACCATTTTTCAGTTGTGCAACCTTTTCCTTCAGCTGACACCATATTATAAAATAGTGTAAACATATTTTTAGCATAACTAGTGAAGGTGAAAAGTAATCTATTAAAAGATTTGCCTTGCATAACCTCGACTATTGATGGCATATGTAACTAAGGTGTAGCAAAAGTATGAGCAATATGGAGCTTTCACAATCCACGGTTATTGACAAATAAATTATGGGAGGTAGGTGATCAAAGTAAAATATGTTATATTTTCAATCACAACAAGTTGACATGGATATTAATGACCTCAATATCAATCTAGTTTGGAAGTTTGACAAAATTGTGTAATATCCTTGAAAATTAGATGATGATGCAAAACATATACCATTCAATGATCATCCATCAAGATAGATGTAATTAGTTGGTTGAATTTGCAACTGTAAGATTTTAAGACTGTTAAGTGAATATAATTTAACATTGTTTAAGATTAGCTTTTAAATGAAATTATATAGTGACAAATTGGCTAAAAAGGATTTGTTAAAAAAGACATACTCAATTTTTCATTCCTTGAATGTGCTCTTGCAACAACAAAGAATGTAGATTCACCAAAGATTCTAAGCTAATTTGTTGAACAAAACTATGAGAATTTGATTAAAAATATCTCATACAACTGGCTTAACATCATTTCTTAAAGTGAATTTGGTATCTTTCCAAGAACATGAACAAGGCCGTAGTGGCCATAATGGTAAAAAAAAATTGCAGAAAGAAAAATTATTGAATCCATATTCAATTATTGAAAGCAAAGATACCAAAAAAATCTACCGAATAAGTATAAACATGATAAAATAAAATAAAAAACAATTACAATATTTGCTTGTGCGACAAAAAGAATGCCTTACTCTCCATTATCTAGTTGACTTTTACAATACATTTTAAAAATAAAAAAAAGAGAGAGAAATATTGTGGTAAACTTTTCTGAATCCATTAAGTTTTTTTAATAATGATGAGTTTTTATTTATTTTTTTAATTTCTAGTTACAATTTTTAGCACTCAATTGGGGATGAAAATGTTTATCATTGAAATATTTTTATGATATTTAATTACATTGCTATATGTAATTTTTGTTTAGCTAGAAATATGTTACAAAACCCAAACGCATAAGAAAAAAAGCCACAACGTTATTTATGTCAGTTATTAAATGTTAGTCTTTTGTCAATTTAGATATTCTTTTTAAAATCTGTTATTTCATTTAGTTGGAAGCCCATCTCGTAGGCCTGGTTCTGAGACTATTTATGTATAGTTTTTATGATGAAAAGACAAGAGAAAAGTTTGAAGTTATTATTTTGGTAAAATCCCTAGTCTCTTTTAGTTCTCTTGGTAAGTAACCCTAGCCCTCAAATTGTTTAGAGAGTCATCCTAATAATCTGGTGCTTTCGTCATGAACACAACCCATCCCACCTCCTCTACTAGCTCTCCTCCTCCCATTCCCACTGTTGCTGCCATTACTGAACAATTACAGCAATTAGCTACCAGGTTAGACAACCATCAAAGTACCATGGATGCAAGACATAAATCCCTCACCTCCATCATGACCAACCTCCTCAATCGTCTACCTCATACGCCATCCCCTTCAGAGGTAAATTCCCCATCCATCATTCATTCGACCTCCCATCTCATCCCACTTTCAAACCCTTCGGTTTCCTTCACCATCCCCTCTATCCCTTTCTTTATGCCACCTCCCTCCACCCCAACTCATACCCCACCTGTCTTCCCTCCTCAATTGCCATTCGTTTCCCAGTCCCTTCCTATGCCAACACCCATTGCCCACCCCCTTCCATTACACCCACCCTATCACATGCACCCCACCCCACCGAACCAACACATTTATAAACTACCCAAGTTACAACTCAATAATTTTGTCGGCACAGATCCCCTAGGTTGGTTGTTTCAAGCCGACCAATTTTTTCAGTTTTACCAAATCCTTTTAGAACAACGTTTACCTTTAATTGCTTTTTACATGCAAGGGGATGCTTTAAGCTGGTTTCAATGGATGTACTATAACCATCAAGTTCATGACTGGTTTTCTTTTACTAAAGCTCTAGAAGTTCGTTTTGGTCCTTCTGCTTATGAGAACCATCAGGCAGAACTGTTTAAAATACGGCAATCAGGTTCTGTTGTGGAGTACCAAGTGGTTTTTGAACGCCTTTGCAATTGTGTCTATGGACTCACCCCGGAGATGATCCTAAATTGCTTTGTTTCCGGTTTAACTCTAGAAATCCGTCGTGAAATTGCAGTCTTACAACCCCACTCCATCACTCACGCCATTGGCCTTGCTAAACTGATAGAAGCTAAAATTAAAGATTCAGCCCAAATTTAACTGTTTCTCTGACCATCCCCCCAAACCCAATGCCTTTCTTCCACTTCCCCCTTACCCACCCCACATTCCCATGCCCCTCTCCCTATTAAACGTCTCACACCAGCCCAAATGCAAGAAAGACGAGCACAAGGCCTTTGCTTTAACTGTGACAAAAAATTCATACCCGGTCATCGTTGCACCCAAAGGCAATTTTTGTTACTTATGATGGATGAGGAAACAGCTCAGCAACCCAACCAGATGACCAAGTGGATTCTGATTTATCGCTTAACTCTGATTGTGTCCACTTTCAACTCTCTCCACAAGTTCTCATTGAGCTACCTTCCCCATAAACCTTGCGTTTTCGTGGGTACATTCATGGACTTCCAGTATTGATTCTTATCGATTCTGGTAGCTCTCACAATATCCTTCAACCAAGGCTAGCTACACATCTAGCGCTGCCTACTGCACCTACTCCCCTTTTTTTCGTTATGGTGGGCAATGGTGACCGTATTTTTTTTCAAAGAAAATGTGAAAATGTCCCTCTCTTCCTTCAGGACCATCTGTTTGCCATTCCCTTC